GTTGGGAGTGTCGGGGTCAAGGTAAATGATGATATTGGTCATTATTTCCAAACCCTGAAAGGTTTAAGACAAGGTGATCCGATGTTTCCTATCCTTTTTAACATTGTAGCCGATATGTTAGCCATCCTCATAGCACGCGCTAAGGAGGACGGTCAGATTGGTGGGCTCATCCCGCACTTGGCGCAAGGAGGCGTCTCTATTCTTCAATATGCTGATGATACATTTATCTTTATGGAGAATGATTTGCAAAAGGCGGCAAATATGAAACTGATACTATGTCTTTTTGAGCAACTTTCTGGCCTCAAGATAAACTTTCATAAGAGTGAGCTTTTTTGCTTTGTTAGAGACAAAGAAAATGAAGACCAATATAGACAGTTATTCGGGTGTGAGGTCGGCACACTACCGTTTACTTATCTTGTTATACCCATTCATCATCGAAAACTCACTAACAAAGAATGGAAAATTATAGAAGATCGTTTTGAAAAAAAACTAAGTTCTTGGAAGGGTAAAATCATGTCATATGGGGCACGGTTAACTCTAATTAACGCAGTTCTCACAAGTTTGCCGATGTTTATGTTGTCTTTCTTTGAAATACCCAAAGGGGTATTAAAGAGACCTGATTTATATCGGTCTAGGTTCTTCTGGCAGTGTGATGAGCACACACGAAGTATCGACTAGCAAAATGTGATATCTTGTGTAGACCTAAGGACCAAGGCGGATTGGGCATTGAAAACTTGGAAATCAAATATAGGTGCTTGCTTAGCAAACGGATATTCAAGTTACAAAATGAGGAAGGGGTCTGGCAAGAGCTCCTCCACAATAAATACTTATATTCGAAGACCTTATCCCAGGTGGAAGCCAAACCAACTGACTCTCCATTTTGGAAGGGCTTGATGAAGGTCAAGTCTTCTTTCTTTATGAGAGGTTCATTTGAAGTTGGTAACGGTCAATCCACTAGTTTTTGGGAAGATACCTGGCTAGGGGACAATCCTCTTGCGGTTGAGTACTCATCTTTGTATAATATTATGCGTAAGAAAGATGATACAGTTTAATCAGTCCTTGGTTCAACACCTAAGAACATCCAATTCAGGAGGGCCTTGATTGGCGATAAATGGATGGCGTGGCTCCATTTAGTTTGTAGGTTGATGTTGGTCAACCTATCTCATGCGCCTGACGTCTTTAGATGGAGACTAAATACTAATGGGGTGTTTACTGTCAAGTCTATGTATGAAGATCTTATTAATACAGGGCCTGCATTTCGTATAAAGCATATATGGAAAATCAAAGTACCATTAAAGATTAAAAAAATTATGTAGTTTGTTCAAAGGGAGGTGATCCTCACCAAAGATAATTTAACTAAATGAAACTGGAATGGATGTAAGAAGTGTTGTTTTTGTGATAAGGATGAAACAATTCAACATCTTTTTATTTCCTGCCCTTTCGCGACTTTGATTTGACGCACGGTTCATGTTGCATCTAGTTTGCCACCACCAACAAGTATCCCAAATTTGTTTGGGAACTGGTTGGTTGGTATCAACAAAATACTTAAGGGTCCTATCCGTGTAAGGGTTTGTGACTTACTTTGGGCAACTTGGAATTGCCGAAATGACTGTGTTTTTGACAGGTCTCGCTCTATTAACTTTTTGCAGGTAATCTTCAGAGTCATCGCATCGATCCGTATGTAGATGCTTTCACATGCGTTATTCAATCGGTTTGGCGGGCATGCCACTAATAGATTATGTGGTTAAGTCATGCAATCTTTTGTTTGTACCCATTATTTGTGATGTTTTTTTTCCTTTTGCCGTTTTAGTTGATACTATGTCCGTTTCAAACCTATTTATTTCCTTTTAATAAAAATGGTTGTGTTTCCCTTTTCGAAAAAAATGAGGTGTCTAAGAGCAACTCAAATGGGGCGACCAATTTCGTCCGAGGCCATCCGTTTGGGTCGGCGCGTACAAAAAAGCCGGCCCAACGCGCCGACCCAAACGGACGAGCGTCCGCTTTTGTCCACCTGTCGACCCATTTCCGATCCATTTTTGAGCCTAATTTGCGTCGGCACGGACACAAGACGGACGCGCGCGCTCACCCTCTTTCCTCACCAGGCCCGCTGGTCGGTGGCACATTGGATTCACACCCTCGCCCGCCTGCTACGCCGCCGGCCATTTTTCAGATAAGAATGGATACATAGATAATTCTAGCGTACACAGATAAAAAGAAAAGACCACTACTCGTCGATTCCTGACTCCGACTCGGTAATGTCCTCCTCCGACGTCTGAATGTAGGCGTCAGCATACGCCTCGTCTTCAAAGTCCCAACCCGCCGTTTCTCGAAGCTTCAGTTTCAATTGAGCTGCCTGCTTCCGCAAACGCTTGTCCTTCCGATAGGCGGCTCGCTCCCTCCTCCTCGCGTCCCTCTCCAACCTCCTTTGCTTGTAGAACTGGCGCTCGTCGATGATGTCATGTGGGAAGCCTCCGCGTCACACCACCAAGGCTTCCACATCCTTCTCCGCGATGGCGAGGCGACGCTGCCGCCTCCGGTGGACACGACGATCCTCGTCGGTGAAAAGCCGCGGGAGAGGCGCCAGATCCTACGCCCGCTGGCTCGACACGTTGGAAAAATTCATATCCGACGAGGCCTCAGGAGGCGCCACGCCACCGCGTCATGTGCGCGGGCCGCCTCCTCTGCGGTGTCGAAGGTGCCGAGGATAAGACGTTTCTCGCGAAATCAGATCTCGAAGGAGAAGGCGCCGGAGCGGAGCTCGCGGACTCCGCGAAAATCAGAAGCGCCCAGGCGGCGGATCGACATGGTGGCGCAGAGGCGGCGAGAGTGGGCGGCGAGCAGAGGCGGCGAGAGTGGACGGCGAGCAGAGGCGGCGAGAGTGGGCGGCGGACAGAGTGTGGAGGGAGCGCCTTCTTTATAACGAGCGCCCGCCGCGGCGCACGCGAACCTTTCCCACGCGCTGGAGCGCCAAAACCAGCACGCGCTAGGCCGCTTTCCCCACGCACGCGAACCATTCCCGCGCGCTGGTGCGCCAAAACCAGGACGACAGCATGATCTAAAACGCGCGCGGTCATGAAATGGGTCGACCCGTTGGACGCACTGCCGACCCAAAACTAAAAAAGGACGGACGGCGGACGGGCGGCAGACCCAAACGCACAAAAAACGAACAAAAACGTTGTCTGTTTGGGTCAGCCCATTGGAGTTACTCTAAGACCCGGTCGAGTTACGTCTCTGCAGATACTATACGTGAATTGTCCCGAGACCGCGATCCAAATACGTTTCTTTGTTCCATGTCACCGCGTAGAGAATTTCATAGACGTCAAACAGAGCACGCACGCACGGCCCCTGGTAAAGTTGGTGATTGGCAAGTGAAGACGTAGTCCGGGCGAAACGAAGGACTCTAGTTGTCGTGTCTCGAGGCTCGCTCAACCAGTAAAGCACAGTAGTTGTCAACTTGGGTTAAAGAAATGGAGAGGGAAGGGAAGGAGAGTGGAAGCCAAGGGGGACACTTGAACCGGTCCAAATGGCGCGACCTTCCTCACGTTGGCGACGACCAGCTCCTGTACTGCACCCAAGGAACCAGATGGTATATAAATACGCCGGCGCGGGTCAGGGGCGGAGCCAGAAAATTTGACCAATGGGTTCACTTGTTAGCTCATTGTGAGGACTGGGTAAAGTCATTGTAACAAATAGAGATATGCTACTCACTCTGAGCCATATTAATTTTGAGAGTACCTAACCATATTAATTGACGCTGGTTTAGTACTCATCGAAGAGTGCAAGACGTACCAGTTTGATGAAATTATAAAGTCACTTGTTTAAATTTTATAAATAGAGTCACGAATATAGCTCCCTAGCTTTAGGACCAACTTCTCAACTTCCAGAAAAGATTAAAAAAAACACATTAGTTTGACAAGTTTCAAGTAAACTACCATGAAGTGAAAGCTGCATGTAAATTTACTCACATTTCAGAGTGCACCCTTCAGATCTTTCATCATCTGAAAAAAATAGTTTATCTATGCATAAAAGGCTTTGGGAGATCATATAAATTAATTCCTCAGAATAGAAGGTTTGGGGGATTAATCAACAGAATTTAACACACCTACATCTGGTGGGTAGGCTTGAAGTCCTTAATACATCATTATCTGAATCCGATGATGATCAATTTCTATTTGATAAATATTCGTACCATAGCCTAGGTCAATCAAAGTTCAGATGAAATATAGTTAGAAAACTAGGGCAAAGGTTAATTTCGTGCTAGGATAAGACCTGCACAAGAAGGACGATGTGGTCTCATTACCTTCAGTTTGGATTTCAATTGCCGGTCGCTGCTGACGGCTGACCTGGTGTTCTCAGCTAGTCGGCTTGCCGCTGGCCGTCGGCGATCCGGCGCCGCCATGCGCGAACATAGAGACGAGAGACCAAGAGACGATGTAAATCGGGGAAACGTACTGCGGAAACGAGAGGCGCGTGTCGTGGGTTGCGTACATTTTTTTTTTTGAGACAAACGTGGGTTGCGTACATGATGACATGGAATTGATAGTTAGCCCATCCAGCCTGCTTCGTGGATGGTATGGTATCACATTTACTTACGGGCTTTTTTTAGCTGTACTTACAGGTTTTTTTTCCTATATAAGAAAAACAAGGTGTGAGCTTCTGGTTGGGTTACTGTTATATAAAACATTAATGGGCCAAAAGTCTTCTCGTTCGCATGTTCCAGTTTCGATGGGTTCAACCGTACATTCGTATTGGGTTCATACGAGCGATCGCATCTATACATGTACGTGACGTGAAAAACTCGTTGGGTTCAGCTGAACCCAACGGCTACACGCTGGCTCCGCCCCTG